TACTGTCACTTTTGATCAATTTAATGCATCCTTGATCAATAAAAGCATTTAATTTCTTTAAAAAAATAAAATAAAACTTTTCAACAGTAGTGAATATTTCCACATTAACATTAACACATTAATATTTTTTGCATTAACCCTTGCAAAATTTTTTCTAATTTAATTCAAATATGTATTTAATCAACTAACACGGGCTCCTGAACACACCCCCTGTCTTTCATTGGTCAGACAAAGATAGCCCCGCCCCCACAATCACACACATAAAGACAAACACTCAAAACCTCTTCTCTCTTCAGAGAATATTACTCTTCAGCTCTTTGTAAAGCCTCTTAATGACAGGAAACAAGCGCAGGATTGTGGGAATGTGACAGGACAGGAAGGAAGTGCGCCTGACCTTCTGCGTGGTGCTGTTGGTGGTCTGGGTGGAGGGTTTGGTGAAGGTGATCTTCACCGGTGACATGTGCGGCGGCAGCGAGTTGGCGATGCTCTGCATCAGGTTGCTCATCTTGGGGCTGCCGCTCACCGGAAGCGTGATGGTTTTGGGAATGGGCGTGGCCACTTTAGGCACCTCCTTCAGCAGCATGGGGGAGGAGCTAGACGAGTTGGTTCTCCGCCTCTTACGGGGTTTCTCGTCCTCATCGGAGCAGCTCACGCCTGAGAGATGGCCAGAACGAGACGTTACACACTGAGGGAGGAGAGCGTGACGTGTGTGTGTGTGTGTGTGTGTGTGAGTGTGTGTGTGTGCATGCGTCTGTGTGTGTGTGTGTGTCTGTCTGTCTGAGTGTGTGTGTGTGTGCATGCATCTGTGTGTGTGTTTGTCTGTCTGTCTGAGTGTGTGTGCGTGTGTATGTGTGTGTGAGTGTGTGCATGCATCTGTGTGTGTGTGTGTGTGTGTGTCTGAGTGTGTGTGTGTGTGTGTGTGTGTGTGTGTGTGTGTCTGAGTGTGTGCGTGTGTGTGTGTCTGAGTGTGTGTGTGTCTGAGTGTGCGTGTGCGTGCGTGTGTCTGAGTGTGTGTGTCTGAGTGTGCGTGCATGTGTCTGAGTGTGCGTGCGTGTGTGTGTGTCTGTGTCTGAGTGTGCGTGCGTGCGTGTGTCTGAGTGTGCGTGCGTGTGTGTGTCTGAGTGTGAGTGTGCGTGCGTGCGTCTGAGTGTGTGCGTGCGTGTGTCTGTCTGTCTGAGTGTGTGTGTGTGTGTGTGTGAGTCTGAGTGTGAGAGTGTGTGTGTGTGTGTGTGTGAGTGCATGTGTGTGCGTGACGCACTCTTGACGTATGTGTGCGTGTGTGTGTGTGCGCGTGACGCACTCTTGACGTAGACTGTACTCCCGCTGGGCAGCATCACCACGTTGGAGGCGGGGCTGGCGGGTCGAGGGGATTTAAGGGCTGCTGCTGCACTGCTGCTGGGAGCCGATGCGCTGGGTGGAGTGGAGGTGGTGCTGGTGTACGAGTAACACACCACCACTGCAACACACACACACACACACACACGGTGAGGAAGAGAGAGACAGCAGCCAGCAGAAACAAAAAATAACAAAATAATAAACATATAACAGACTACACAGACACAACACATTCAAAAACAAACAAAAAAAAATAAAATAAATAATAATAATAAAATTAACTTTTTTTAACTTATATTAACCACAAATTATACAATAAGATACAAACACATAATTAATGATAATAATGTTTTTATCGTTTACAAAAACTTAACTTCAGTTTTTGTAACTTCTGTCCAATTTTATTGTGTTCCTTTTGTTTTTGTTTAACGTTTTTAAAAACTTATATTAACCACAAATCAGACATTACACAGACACAATATATAAAAATAATAATAAAATAAGCAATAACAAGAATAACAGTATGTTGCTATCATTAGCTAAAACTAAGAATGTAATTATAAACAAAAAATAATAAAATAGTAATAACAATTGATAAAAATATGTTGTTATTGTAAACAAAAAAAGTCTTTATTAATATTTATATTAACTGCAAAACAGATCATACAGCCACAAGATATGCATACAAAATAAATAAATAAATAGCAGTAGAAATAATATGCTGTTATTGATCAATAAAACTATTTTAAAAACTCGGTAGCTGAAATAAAATAAAACGTCACTTTCTTTATATTTTATTATTTTTAAATGAAGTGCAAGGATTTGTACGTAACGTACACTTACAACACATGTATGTATGTATATAATAAGACTAAAAAGTAGCAGTTAAGGATGCTTAATATAAAGTTTAACCAAGTCAAATATAAGCAGATAAAAACTGAAATAAATAAGTTTAAGCTGAAATACTAAAATTGCTACAACTAAAATGGAAATTATTATAAATTAACGCTAAACAGAAACATTTAATAATAATAATACAAATTGAAAAAGCACATAACAAAATTACCAAAACGTAAGACTAAAATTAACATGAAAACAAAATAAAAGCTAATTTAAAATAATTTGGAGGGTCTCTGTACCTTCTTTGTTGGCGGTCTCGGCGGGCAGCAGCAGCGAGGCGTTCTGGTGCGCGGTCGCGTTTGCTACGGCGTTGGCCATCACAGTGAAGGCCGTCTGAGGAACCAGTCTGGGCATGAGAGGAACCAGCCGCCGGCCCTCGATGGACCACTCCGACGAGCTGTTGGGCCCCGACATGCTGCAGGACACACGAGCAACACCACGGCCTTTAGTACAGCTCAGCGCGGCTTCACTAAAGCACTAGCACGGCTTCAGCGGACTACAGCGGTGAGACTCACTGATAAGCGATGGTGGTCAGGCGCTCGTCGTTCACAGCTCTGCGCACCTCCGCTCGATGCCGCTCCGTCGAGATACTGACAGAACACACCACACACTCACGGTCAAACACACACTCAGCTGTCACACACACACGACCGCTCAAACGTTTGGGATCTCGTAATGTTTTTAAAGAAGCCTCTTCTGCTCATCAAGGCTGCATTTATTCGATCAAAAATACAGAAAAAAACAGTAATCTTGCTAAATGTTATTAGAATATAAAATAATGGTTTCTATTTTAATATCCTTTAAACTGTAATGTATTTCTGTGATGCGCAGCTGTATTTTCAGCATCATTCCTCCAGTCTTCAGTGTCACATGATCTTCAGAAATCAGTATAATATGCTGCTTTATTATCAGAATTATCAACAGTTTTTCAGGATTCTTTGATGAAGAAAAAGTTAAAAAGAACAGCATTTATTCTAAATATAAATCGTTTCTAACAATATAAATCTTTGCTGTCACTTCTTAACAATTTAACACGTCCTCGCTGAATAAAAGTTTTAATTTCTTTCAAAAAAAAAAGAAAGAATAAAAATCTACTGACCCTAAACTTTTCTCTTCAGAAATCAGTATAATATGCTGCTTTATTATCAGAATTATCAACAGTTTTTCAGGATTCTTTGATGAAGAAAAAGTTAAAAAGAACAGCATTTATTCTAAATATAAATCGTTTCTAACAATATAAATCTTTGCTGTCACTTCTTAACAATTTAACACGTCCTCGCTGAATAAAAGTTTTAATTTCTTTCAAAAAAAAAAGAAAGAATAAAAATCTACTGACCCTAAACTTTTCAACAGTAGTGTATATTGTTAGAAAAGATTTCTATTTTAAATAAATGCTCTTCTTTTAAACATCAAAGAATCCTGAAAACAAGTATCACAGTTTCCAAAAAATATGAAGCAGCAACTGTGTTCAAATCTACTGACCCTAAACTTTTCAACAGTAGTGTATATTGTTAGAAAAGATTTCTATTTTAAATAAATGCTCTTCTTTTAAACTTTTATTCATCAAAGAATCCTGAAAACAAGTATCACAGTTTCCAAAAAATATGAAGCAGCAACTGTGTTCAACTCTGATAATAAATCAGCATATTATACTGATTTCTGAAGATCATGTGACACTGAAGACTGGAGTAATGATGCTGAAAATACAGCTGCGCATTACAGAAATACATTACAGTTTAATGTATATTAAAGTAGAAAAACGGTATTTTATATCATATTAATATTTCACAATATTAAGTTTTTTCCTGTATTTTTGATCAAATAAATGCAGCCTTGATGAGCAGAAGAGACTCCTGTAAAAACATTAAAAATAGATAATAATAGCTTTGTAGGACTATACATTAGATAATTACTAAAAAAAAAACAGTTATATCTGATTCTGTTGCATAGAACTGAATAAAAATGATATATTGATATTTAATATTAATATATTTTCTGTCCAATTTTATTGTGTTACTTTTAATAAAACTGTGGTTATTTTATTGGCTTGCGTTTTTAAAATTCAGTATCTTTAAAATTATTGAGTTCAATTAAAAAGTCTTACAAAATGACTTTATATCATTTAATAAAATTATAAATAATTATTGCAAAGCATTTTCGGTTTCGGTGCATCCCTAATCGTCTCCTAATGTTCAGCTCTAAACTGTGAAAGCCGTTCTGCCGCGGAATAAAAAATAAAAAGGTGACTTTTTTTTCTTGTAACTGCGAGTTTATATCTGACTCAACTGTGAGTTTACATCATGCAATTCTGAAAAAAATTAATAAATCCGAATCGTGAGAAAGAAAGTTGCAGTTACCTTTTTAAAATTATTTTACGGGTTAAAAAGAACAGCATTTATTCTAAATATAAATCGTTTCTAACAATATAAATCTTTGCTGTCACTTCTTAACAATTTAACACGTCCTCGCTGAATAAAAGTTTTAATTTCTTTCAAAAAAAAAAGAAAGAATAAAAATCTACTGACCCTAAACTTTTCAACAGTAGTGTATATTGTTAGAAAAGATTTCTATTTTAAATAAATGCTCTTCTTTTAAACATCAAAGAATCCTGAAAACAAGTATCACAGTTTCCAAAAAATATGAAGCAGCAACTGTGTTCAACTCTGATAATAAATCAGCATATTATACTGATTTCTGAAGATCATGTGACACTGAAGACTGGAGGAATGATGCTGAAAATACAGCTGCGCATCACAGAAATACATTACAGTTTAATGTATATTAAAGTAGAAAAACGGTATTTTATATCATATTAATATTTCACAATATTAAGTTTTTTCCTGTATTTTTGATCAAATAAATGCAGCCTTGATGAGCAGAAGAGACTCCTGTAAAAACATTAAAAATAGATAATAATAGCTTTGTAGGACTATACATTAGATAATTACTAAAAAAAAAACAGTTATATCTGATTCTGTTGCATAGAACTGAATAAAAATGATATATTGATATTTAATATTAATATATTTTCTGTCCAATTTTATTGTGTTACTTTTAATAAAACTGTGGTTATTTTATTGGCTTGCGTTTTTAAAATTCAGTATCTTTAAAATTATTGAGTTCAATTAAAAAGTCTTACAAAATGACTTTATATCATTTAATAAAATTATAAATAATTATTGCAAAGCATTTTCGGTTTCGGTGCATCCCTAATCGTCTCCTAATGTTCAGCTCTAAACTGTGAAAGCCGTTCTGCCGCGGAATAAAAAATAAAAAGGTGACTTTTTTTCTTGTAACTGCGAGTTTATATCTGACTCAACTGTGAGTTTACATCATGCAATTCTGAAAAAAAATAATAAATCCGAATCGTGAGAAAGAAAGTTGCAGTTACCTTTTTAAAATTATTTTACGGGCTAATAAGATCAATGTAACTAAAAAACATTAAGCTATCAGACGCACTGCAGTCGTGATGAAATGAAAGTCGATCTTTGCTTCTGAAACTGATTATCCACAAAGAAAGAATAGAGGGCGGGACTTAGTTCTATCTGCTGATTGGATGTTGAAGTGTGGCACTCAGCGGCGGAGGCGGATCTGAATGCAGTGGATCGTAATAAAGGGGCGGGGTTTAATCTGACACAATGACTGGAGAAGCCCAAACATTTGATGTAGAAGTGAAACACGGCTGTAAACGATGTGTGTGCGTCACTGAAAATACAGCTGCGCATCACAGAAATACATTACAGTTTAATGTATATTAAAGTAGAAAAACGGTATTTTATATCATATTAATATTTCACAATATTAAGTTTTTTCCTGTATTTTTGATCAAATAAATGCAGCCTTGATGAGCAGAAGAGACTCCTGTAAAAACATTAAAAATAGATAATAATAGCTTTGTAGGACTATACATTAGATAATTACTAAAAAAAAAACAGTTATATCTGATTCTGTTGCATAGAACTGAATAAAAATGATATATTGATATTTAATATTAATATATTTTCTGTCCAATTTTATTGTGTTACTTTTAATAAAACTGTGGTTATTTTATTGGCTTGCGTTTTTTAAATTCAGTATCTTTAAAATTATTGAGTTCAATTAAAAAGTCTTTCAAAATGACTTTATATCATTTAATAAAATTATAAATAATTATTGCAAAGCATTTTCGGTTTCGGTGCATCCCTAATCGTCTCCTAATGTTCAGCTCTAAACTGTGAAAGCCGTTCTGCCGCGGAATAAAAAATAAAAAGGTGACTTTTTTTTCTTGTAACTGCGAGTTTATATCTGACTCAACTGTGAGTTTACATCATGCAATTCTGAAAAAAATTAATAAATCCGAATCGTGAGAAAGAAAGTTGCAGTTACCTTTTTAAAATTATTTTACGGGCTAATAAGATCAATGTAACTAAAAAACATTAAGCTATCAGACGCACTGCAGTCGTGATGAAATGAAAGTCGATCTTTGCTTCTGTATTGTGACGGAAATCTGAGAGAAACTGATTATCCACAAAGAAAGAATAGAGGGCGGGACTTAGTTCTATCTGCTGATTGGATGTTGAAGTGTGGCACTCAGCGGCGGAGGCGGATCTGAATGCAGTGGATCGTAATAAAGGGGCGGGGTTTAATCTGACACAATGACTGGAGAAGCCCAAACATTTGATGTAGAAGTGAAACACGGCTGTAAACGATGTGTGTGCGTCACCTCAGCACTCGAGTGAGTTCTCCCAGCAGCTCCTTCTTGTCTTTGGTGAGATCTCCTTGAGCGCGCAGAGCGCTGATCACGCCGGCGTACGCTTCCAGCTCTGAACACACAAACACACAAACACACGTGAGCTCGCGATCAGCACACACAACAGCACAGTGATGCTTCAGCGAGTCTCACCCAGTTTGCGCAGGATTCGTTTGCATTCATCTCTGCTGAGGTCGAGCAGCGTGGGCCAAACCACCGGCATGCTGCCCGCCAACGGCTTCTCCTGCTGAATCATCAACTACACACACGCAGACACACAGACACAGACACAGACGCAGACACACAAACAGACACACAGACGCAGACACAGACGCAGACACAGACGCAGACACACAGGCAGACACACAGACGCAGACACAGACGCAGACACAGACGCAGACACACAGGCAGACACACAGACAGACACACAGACGCAGACACAGACGCAGACACAGACACACACAGACAGACACACACACAGACGCAGACACAGACACACAGACACACAGACACACACACACAGACACAAACACACAGACAGACAGACAGACAGACACACACACAGACAGACACAGACAGACACACAGACACAGACACACACACACAGACACACAGACAGACACACACACACAGACAGACACACAGACAGACACACACACACAGACAGACACACAGACAGACACACACACACAGACAGACACACAGACAGACACACACACACAGACAGACACACAGACAGACACACACACACAGACAGACACACAGACAGACACACACACACAGACAGACACACAGACAGACACACACACACAGACAGACACACACACACAGAGAGAGCATTTATCATCATCACACGACACAAAACAGAAGATCATACGTCACATTACAGCAGCTGTTCACCCAAACATGAACTCAGGCCTCAGGCCATCCAAGATGTAGATGAGTTTGTTTCTCCCTCAGATTTAGTTTAAAGTTTAGAGCTGTTTAAACGCTGCTTGATCTGTGCAGATCTCTCTCC